CAGAAATAGCCGTTGGAAGTCCAACGGTCACATTGTCGGTCGACCGAAAATCCCGTCGGTCGACCGATGAGAGCAAAAACACGAAGAAAACTTTCTGGACTAACGTCGGTCGACCGGAAATTCTGTCGGTCGACCGATTTGAGCTCTCGGTCGACCGGACCGGTCAACCGATGACTCTCTGGAAAAATACTAACGAATGGTCAATTGACCGGTCGACCGTACCGGTCGACCGAAAACTGACATCCCAGAAAAACAAAGCTGATTTTAAAACACTGTTTAAAAATATCAAATAAATTCCAAAAAATGTAAAACTTTGGGGAATGATTATAAACATGATAATAAACAAAACTGTTTTTCTGATTTTAAAACACTGTTTAAAAATATCAAATAAATTCTAAAAAATGTAAAACTTTGGGGAATGATTGTAGACATGATAATAAACATGCTACAATGACTGGTTTTCAAAAAAAATTTCCCAAATGAAAATATCATCATTTTACAAAATAGTCCAAAACATGAAAATATGAAAATTGATATTTTGATATTTTGACTTAAACAACATTTTGAAACCTTATGAAATGATTGTATAGACTTGATAAAAGATATAACATGTTGTTATGAAGTCTATAATCTAGAAATACAATATTTTAATATTTTCATAAAATTACATAAGCAATAAGTACTAAAACACAATAGAGTATGAAATATGTAATATCATAAAAATCAAAACACATGTATGTATATATATAACTATATATATGCATAGAAACCAAAACTTATATATATCTATATAACTATATAGATATACGAAGAAACCAATAAATGTGTGTGTATATGATATTGAGCTTAGAGTATCTAACACACATAATATAAAACCTAAACTAAATATACCAAAGCTTGATCTTGATCTTCAATAGGCTTGACTTGATATATTTGCGGATGAAGCTTGAACTTGATCTTTAACTTTGAATTGCAAGGCTTCACCGACATTCCGCCAACCTCCTTTGGATATGATCGTTGAAGCTCTATTCCATCCATCCTCCAACTACGTTGTTTGTCTATAATAAATAAGAAAACACAAATACTAGACAAACAACATTAGTGGTAAATTATTTGTTAAACATCATCAAAACAAGAAGGCCAACATGGAGTTATTCGGTCATGTTTGACGCCAGATCTTATTTATGATGTGATGAACGAGACGTTGGCGAAGAAGATGTGGGAAACACTCAATGAAAAATATCTTACTAAGAGAATTGAGAATCGGCTTCACTTGAAGAAGAGGTTTTACCAGTTTAAGATGAAGAGGGGAGTTTCCATTAGGGAGCATGTTAACAACTTCACAAAGCTACTTTCAGACATGGCTAATGTGGATATCATGGTTGAGGATGAAGACAAGGCGATGCTACTTTTGTGTTCGTTGCCCGATGATGATTATGGTACTTTTGTCCTAACTATGATTAATGGAAGAACTACTGTTAGTTACAAGGAGGTGACCTCAGCGTTGGTGAATTATGAGTTGAGGAAGAGTGTTGATGAGTCCTCCGAGAAGGCATCGGGAGATGTATTAGTAGTTCAAAGCCGTGGTTCAAACCGAAGCAGAAGGTCGCAGTCTAGAGGTGCACATCGTGGGATTCAGAGGAATCAGTGTGCTTTTTGTAAAGAGGATGGACATTGGAAAGCTGAATGTCCAAAGTTAGATCGAGCCGAGAAGAATAAGGGGAAAACTGTACAAGCTTCAGAGGTGAATGTTATCAAGACTAGTGGCAACAATTCAGATTCAGATTCTTCAGGCTATTTGTTGTCTGCACTACCGTCAGTTTGTGTTGCCAACTCTACAGAGTGGATGTTGGATTCGGATGCTTCTTACCACGTTTGCCCTAGGAGGGATTGGTTCTTCAGCTTTCAGAAGTTGGAAAGAGAGGATGTTGTGCTCATGGGTAATGGACATGCATGCTCTATTGGTGGTATTGGTACCGTTCGGATTAAGATGAGTGACGGGGTGATTCGGGAGTTGAATGAAGTGAGGTTCGTTCCACAATTGAAGATGAACTTCATTTCACTAGGAGCTTTGGTGGCATCTGGCTATAATGTGACCTTGGTGGATGCACGTTTGAAGGTCACATTGGGGTCCATGATTGTGATGAAGGACGTCAGAAGGAGCAATTTGTATTATTTGCTCGGAAACACGGTGATTGATAGGAAGATAACGACTTCATCAGATTCGGCTAGACTGTGGCGTTGTTTGATGCTGGGTTATTTGATTGGTAATGCCGTGCATAGGTTGTTGATGAGTGCTATGATCTACAGTTTGAAGTCCTGTGAACCATTGGTATGAGCGAGAAGACCGAGGTGGAGTTTGGCACTTCTATCTATTATTTGAGGGGTCTTCTGAGGGGTGTTCATTTAGGCATTCGGGAGCCTTCCAAGGGAGCATTATTGGGAGGTAATAGGTATATGGTTTTCGTAGTTGGGGATCGCTCTAGGAGGCAGAGGGCTTGGTGTTCGTGCACGGAACAGGTGCAAAGAAGGACGTGCAAAGGGGACTGGTGGCTGTGCAAACTCGAGGCTGTCCTTGGGTTGCGTGCGAAGAGGGCTGCAGTCAGCTTTTGTTCCTTTCTTTGGTAGCGTGCAAGCACGGACAGAGGGAAAAATCAGCTGTTTTGTTCTCTCGTTTGGGCGGCGTGCAAGAGCCGATTTGAGAGAGTATTTGTGTGAGGGATCTGAGAGTTTGTGAGAGGGTTTAGGTTGTGAGATTGTAAACCCTAGTTGTATCTCTCCCTCTAATAGTAGATCTTCCCTCCTTGCCCCGTGGACGTAGGGTATTTGCCGAACCACGTAAAAGTTGTGTTCTTACCGTGATTTGTAATAGCTTGTAAGATCCCTCGACAGGTCAGTCCTAGAACTGATGAGAGGAAGAGCCGATATCTCACTTTGTTGAGATATCCGCTTCAGATTCTTGTTTCCTTGGTGAGACAGGAATTCTTACGATCTAATCACTTGTTGTGTACCTTGCGCACCGGAGGTGCTGCCGAAATTTCCGTTGTGCATAACAGAACACTCGTCTTCAGGCGAGGTCGAGTGCGGCTCTGCAGGCGAGCTCAAGCGCACGCATGGCTGTCGCCAGCCTGTCGCCAGGATTCCCTTATAGAAGGGAACCCAAAGCCGAGATCCCTCGTGTGCTTCTCTTCTCTTTCTCGTGAACTTTTCTTCCTGACGGTGGCGGCGACACTTTCTCCCTGCTTATCTCAAGTTTTTTTTAGCTCTCAGCTAAGAATTTGAGGGAAGAATTAAAGAGGGGATTTAAGAAGAGGGATTTTCACTATAGCTACAGTGTTAATTTTTACATTTATTAAGAGATCTCAAGTTTGAGATCTGCTTTTGCATTGTAATTTCTTTGATTAATAAGAAATTAATTGTGTGGCTCTTGAGGATATATGTAAATTTTGTCGAACCTCGTAAATCTTGGTGTACTTTTCTCTACTGTGTTTTCTTGCTGTTTTAGGGGTTTAGCATAGCCCTTGTTATTTCTCAACAAATATATGATAATTTTCATATAAGTAAGTAGGTGAAAGAAAAACATGGAATAAAACGTTTTACTAACAAATAACTTATGAATACTTAAAAATCATTTCTAACATTCCGTGAATCATAAAATCTCTCTAAGCTGTTATATGTTCTCATGATATCTCATAAATTTGGACCGGAAGGATATTCATCACTACTCCAGGAAGCTCGCATATGAAGTTTATTTGTTCAAAGAAGAAGGAAGGACAAGTCTTTGTTAGACGTAGTCCATACAGTAGCTCTTGTTTGAGTAATACCAAACTCTCATTTAGCACTAATAGTTATTTGATATGATAAAGTACATGTAAATACACGTAGATGAAGTGTACGATGCGAAACGACGTGAAAAACAACTCAAAAGTTGATTTCAGCCTACTCAACCATTGATGAGCCTCGTCACCATTGATAGTTGAGAGTCATCGATGATAAAGTAGACTAATTACAGAATTTTAGATTTAATTGTAGCCACTCATCATTTCTTTTAGGTCTAATCTCTACCACGCTTAGGATATCTCTTTTCTGAACCTATTGGAGACTTTATATCATTGAAAGAGAAAGAGAAAAAGAAGAGAAGAGTTTTAGGGTTTTGAATTGTGAAGAGATTTCGTTGAAGTTTTCGAACCCCGAAGCCTCGACAAACTTTCATCGCGCACATCTTTTTGGGTCATTTCAGTGAGGACAGTTGCCTTTGGATTCACAATCTACACTGTTCTTCACCGTGCTATGCTTATATTCATCTAAGTACGGTTTGTTTAACAAAAGAGCTGTAAGATCGTTGATATTTTCTGAGCTTTAACTTAATTTGGTTGTTTGGTTTTGATTTAAACTTGTTATTACGGCTTACTCAAGCCTATTGGAATTGAGTGTTGGGACTAGCTAGGGCTAGTGTTAACTCATTGTAGAGAGTTAGGTTAGATGATTTATTTTGGGTAGATTCGAGGGTGCGGTCTTGTAAGTTTACTGAATCAGGTTTTTGATTCAGGAGAACTCTTTTGCATAGTGAGGAAACCCCTTCGTGAGAAGGAATAATGGACGTATGACTGTTATCATGACTACTATGAAAACTTGTGTGTTCCTGATTGGTTGCTATTAGCGTTTGATTTTCATTGATTACGTTTATTTTATCTATTCCATGGCATATTTTGTATTTTTAGCGAAAAATGGTGTCAACCCTATTCATCCCCTACTGTAGGCTTGCATCTCAGATCCAACAGTCTTAACAAACCAACAAATTTGATTAGTCGTCCATTGCGTGTTGCTGAAGGTAAGTAGTTTGATGACTGTCAGCAGACAACTCCTAGTCACATGACATTCATAACGCAAAAGTTCGGAACTTTGATATCAATTGTTTGGAATCTATTTGTTAGATCTATTTTATCTCTGTTTTTTGTAAAATTTCTGTGTCCAAGATTGTCATCCATTTATGCTTCTGATCCAAATGTCACCATATGTCACACTCAAAACTTATTTCACAAAAACATGAAGCACAAAAGCGTGAATTCACGACAGTATTACAAACTCAAGGACTCATCACTGAGCCATCTTCTCATATCCTTCTCCTTATTCAAACTCACAAGGACATTGAAACAGAAACATAAGCATTATATTTAATTGTAGGCAGTTGGGTTTGCTAGGAGATAGGCTTCGACTGCCTTGATGTGGTTGGTCACGCCTTCCTTCGCCTTTCCACTGTCATCAGCGACACCAGGGAGAAGCTTGTAGGTTGCGGTCACCTTGACAATGCATCCGTTGTTGCCAGATGGCTCGAACTTGAAGTGATTGGAGGCCGATTCAAACTGCTTTCCTAAACCTCCGCCTTCCACGAGGGTGTTCTTGACCTCGAACTTGTCATGGTCTATGAAATCTAGGCGCTCCTTCAGGTAGCTGAAAGGCAGTGCTAGTACACAACATAGATGGGGGAAAAAGAGGGAGTATGAGGACATGATATGCTATTAACTCTTCATAAGTGCTGTTTGGTTTGCTGCCAAAATGAATTGAAGCAAATACTACAGTAACAAATGCTACATGCAGGAATCATTTTTAAATCTATTGTTTGTATTTTTTTTCTCCATTTTATTCTAGGAATGTATTTCCAGGTGTAAATTTCAGTGTTTGGTTGAAAAAAATCATACAGAAGCTACTTTGTCATATAAAGAAATGCATGATTGTTGGTCGCTTTCCAATTTGGAGTAGGAAAGGATCATTTTTTGATGGGTTGTAATTATTTTTTAACTTCAACTTTTTTTAAAAAAGTCTGCAACTTTTCGTCCTACAAATTGACTGTAGCACTTGTTGCATTGCTTTTCCTAAACTGTAAGTTGCTTACCTTTCCTAATTACTATGCAATTGAAATATAAATCTGGCTGCACTATTTACTTTTGTAGCTTTATTTGCAGGTCACAAAACAATCCTTAATGAAGATTTTACAACATGTACCATACGGACTGCATTGATAATGTTAAAGTAAGAGAGAGAGAGTTTTGGGTAAATTTTCTTGTGCATATCTAATTAACGCCAATCAAGAATACTAAGGAGAGACATATATTCACAAGGCATCGTTATTGAAACTAATATCCAAGGATTCTAACCATTGTTGCCGATCTTGATCTCTCTGACGCTTCCAACAGCTCCATCTCCGGACACCACAGAAGCACTGGCGATGAAATCCGGCACAATCTTGGGGCCGAGGTTGTGCCAGTCCAGCATCGCAGCCTTAAACAGCCTCCCTGCTGGGACATTGGCAGCTACCTCGTGGCTCCAGCTTCCTGAACTCATGTTTTCCTATCTGTTGTATATTAATTCTCTACGACTGTGATTTATGTGCAAGGAGTAGAGCAAAATGGTTCGCCTTTTATAGAGTGAAGTTTGGAAATGGTACGTGTCATGTTTGCCCAAAATTCAAAGATCAGCAGCGGGCTTGCTAAGCTATGACAAAGGGGAAAAAAATTGAAGAAAAGGAAAATTGTCCAAAAAGGGTATAAAGAGAACATCAACTCTAGCGGAAATCCGAATACTAGGAATGTAGATACTATGTCAATGGTCAAATTTTTGGTTTCATGAAAAATATTTGCCTACGCAGTTGACTAAATTAACTACCTTCCTGAAAATAAAGATTTTTATTAAACTAACTAGCTTAAACATAATGTATATTCTTCCTTAGTTACACAAATTATACATTTTAGCAAGTATCAATTATTTATGTTCAGATCAAGATGACGGAAAAAGGTCAGCCAGTAATAACTGATGGACGGTTTGTGTTTCGCTGGCAAGTTTGGTAAGTGATCTTTTGTCTTCTGTACTCCTTTGACTTTTGTTGTAGAAACAATGAATGCTTCTTCTAGATGGAGGCCAACTAATTAAAGAGAAGCTGAAAATAGACTTTCGGTTATTTGAACATATAGGTCTAACTCTCAGGGCAATGTTCCTTATTGTTGCACTATTCAGACAACTTAGAAGGAAGATAAAGCGATTAACCTATTTTGTTCATTTAATAAGGGGTAAATTTCACTAATAAACCTTCAATAAGTTTGGCCCTTTGTTACTTTACCGCCACAAGTTTAATGCTGTCACTGAAGCTCTAATAATTATACATAGTAATTCCAGAAAACTGTCAAAATTTTACGTATCGAATGCGGTTTGAACATTTTAAGTTTGTGAACCCAATAAGTTATTATTCATAAAACACACTAATAAAAAGCTCTAAGTGTTGTGGGTCCAGCCCAAGATAAAGCCCACATGAGGTTCACATGAATTAAAATTCTATCTAGAAGAGGATTTGGATAATCTATTTATAATAGAAATAGGTTTGGAGAATTCTATTTTATGAGAACCCTGAAATTAATTTTGGCTCTAGAGTAACCGTGAACAGTAGCTGAGAAAAGAAAAGAGGGGAGAGAGAGAAAAAGAGAGAGGAAAAGTGAGATTCCAGATAGTTCGGTTGTCCGATTGCAGTGATTCAAAAGCCATTGTTTTCAGAATGATGACGTCGTTAAGGGTACAATGCTGGTTTCTTCGCGAGTGTTGGAGATTTTTAGTGAGACAGGTTTTACAGTTTTGGTTTCCTAGAGGTAATATTGTATCTTTTGTTGGGACAAACACGGGACCCAATAGAGCAGGGTCGCAGCGATAGTAGAGTGAAAGTAAAGATAAAAAGAACACACAGATTTACATGAAAAACCTCCTAAAGAATTTGGGGTAAAAACCACGGCAATGATAGAAGAATCCACTATGAGGAGATATTTTGAAGTTGCAATCTCTCTTTACAAGGAGATACTCTCTCTCTCTCTATTTTTCTCTCTCACTCTTTTATATGAGGAGTTTTTTTTGTGATGAATTTTTTCTTAAGAGTTTAGGACCTATTTATAATGTTTGAGAAAACACTATAGACTAATAAAATATAATATTTTACTGTGCAACTTTAAAAATTTTAAACTCTTTTTCATTCGGTGCCGCTTTCTTTGAAATAAAATTTCTTGTGGGGCCCACTCTTTTGTTTTCTTGCTACTTTTGGCCGATAATCTCTCACTTGAAGATTTGATTGAGTATCAATTATATATTCACACCATTCTTTCTATCTTACCATCTTCATGTTGCTTACGTCTCCGACAGATCACAAGAAGATCGACACCAAATAAATTTATCAGTATTGACTGCTTTTGTCAAAAAGTCTGCTAGGTTGTCTTTGATGTGAATTTTCTGCATATCCACTATTCCTTCTTCCACTTTCTCACGAACGAAGTGGTACTAAACTCGAATGTGTTTTGTTTTTGAATGAAATGCTGGATTTCTTGCTAAATGCAAAACACTCTGACTGTCACAAAATAGAGAAATCTTCTTTTATTCATACCCGAGTTCCTCCAGCACCATCTTAAACCACATGCCTCTTTACTAGCTTGTGTAGCTGCTACATATTCTGTTTCTGTTATTGAAGTAGCCACAATTGACTGTAATTTTGATATCTAACTTACAGCTCCGTCAGCAAGTGCAAACACATAGCCTGTGGTGGATTTGCTATTATCACGATCATCTGCATAATTAGAATTAACATAGCCATTGATAATAAAATCAGATTCCCCATAACATAATGCAACATTTAAGGTTCCCTTAATATATCTTAGAATCCTCTTTACAGCATTTCAATGCTCTTTACTAAGATTCGTCATGTATCAACTAACCACTCACATTGCTTGTGCAATGTCTGATCTTGTACAAATCATAGCGAGCATTAAGCTTCCCATTACTGATGCATACAGTACTCAAGACATTTCCATCCTCTCTTCTTTATTGCTAGGACTCATACTGAAGGATAAGTTGAAATTAACATGAAGTGGGGTAGAAATTAACTTACAATCTTGTATGTTAAAACGCCGCAAAATTTTTTTCAAATAATTCTTTTGAGAAAGCCAAATCTTCCTATTAACTCTATCTTGGTAAATTTGCATCCTTAAAATCTTGTTTACAGATCCTAAATCCTTCATTTCAAATTCCCTATCCAACTGAGCCTTTAATTATTTTATACGATTTTATTGGGGCCTGTAACCAACATGTCGTCAATATACAACAATAAGATAATAAAGTTATTTTCACCAAACCTCTTGAAATATGCACAATGGTCTGAATTAATTCTGTTGTATCTAAGGCTCATGATGAATGAATCAAATTTCTTGTACCAACACCTTGCCGCCTGCTTTAGACCATACAGAGATTTGTTCAATCTGCAAAGCAAGTTCTCCTTTCTTTTTTCTTCAAAACCTTCTGGTTAGAGCATGTAAATTTCTTCTTTAAGATCTCCATAAAGAAATATTGTTTTCATATCTAGCTGCTCTAGATGTTAGTCACATATAGCGCCCAAAGATAGGACTATTCAGACTATTGCAAGTCGAACTACAGGAGAAAATATTTTATTAAAATCAATACCTTCTTTCTGAGCATATCCTTTTATTACTAATCTAGCACGATATCGCTCCACTTGATCATCTCTATTTCGCTTGATCTTGCAAACCAATTATTTCTAATAGCCTTCCTTCCTTTTGGTAGTGACCTAAGTACCCAAGCCTTATTCTTATGAAGAGCTTCAATTTCTTCCTGTATTGCTGCCATCCATAAAGATACATCTGTGCTATTTATAGCTTCATAAAAAATTGATGGTTCTCCATCCTCTATTAGAAGACAGTATGCAACATTACTCTCCATAATATACTTTGAGTGCCAAGTCGGTGGTCTTCTCTCATGAGTTAACCTTCGAACTTCTGGAGACTCAGACTCGACTTGTTCTTGTACATCATGCTCCGGTGTTGCATCAGAAGAATTTGAATCATTTACTAGCTGAACATCTACAATCTCTGAGTCCTTCCTTGAACTGCTTCCTTCTTCTTCACTTTGTAGTTGGTTCTCTACAAAGTTAGCATCTCTATTGACGATAACCTTGCGGGCAGTAGGAACCCACAAGCGATACACATTTACTCCGTCAGCATACCCCAAGAATATGCATTTTTTAGATTTTGAATCCCACTTTGTAATTTCTTAGGCATTGTACATAACGTACATTGGACTTCCAAATATATGGAGGTAGGAATAATCAGTTGGCTTGCCAGTCCATATTTCCATCAGCGTCTTCAATTGTATTGCAGTTGATGAAGATCGATTCATCACATAACAGGTGGTTTTTACTGCTTCCGCCCAAAAGACTTTATCCAAATTTGAAGTTGCTAACATAGCTCTTATTCTTTCCAACAGAGTTCTATTCATCCGCTCCGCCACTCCATTTTATTGAGGAGTATAAGCTATAATGAATTGTCTTTTGATGCCTTCTTGCTTGCAGAATGTAAGAAATTTACCGTCTGTGTATTCTCCTCCATTATCTAACCTCAAGCATTTGATCTTCTTTTCAGATTCAATCTCGCCTTGCACTTTGTAGGCTTTAAAGACTGAGAACACATCCACCTTCTTCTTGATAGGATACACCCACCATCTCCTAGAATAATCATTAATAAAGGACACAAAATATTTTTGCTCCTCCTAAGGATGTAACTAGTGCTTGTCATACATCAGAATGAACTAGTTTCAGAATAGCATTGGTAGAACTTGATGTGTTGAACTTCAGTCGATGCTGCTTACTTGTAACACAATGCTCGTAGAAGGGAAGAGCTACCGAATTAAGTCCAGGAAGTAACTTCTGATCGGAGAGAATCTTCAAACCTCGTTCTGACATGTGGCCTAGTTGTCCAGGAAGTAACTTCTGATCGGAGAGAATCTTCAAACCTCGTTCTGACATGTGGCCTAGTTTGCGATACCACATCATGGTTTGTTCTTCTCCATGACTGGTTGATGCCACACATAAATCATCTTCCTGCAGAGTCTCTCCCTTGAGCAAGTATAGATTTGAAGCTATCTTTTTTTATGACAACAAGCATCCCTCTAACAATCTTCATGATCCTGTTTTCTATATGAGTCTTGCACCCGAGCTCATCTAATTGTTCTAAAGACAACAGATTCTTCTTCATGCCCTTCACATGTCGCACATCTTGAATGGTGTGTATTGTACCATCAAACATTTTGATTTTGATAGTACTAATAGCAGAAATCTCCAAGGCATGATTATTCCCTATAAATGTAGATCCTTCTGAGATAGGTTCATATTTGTGAAACCATTCTCTCCAGGAGGTCATGTGCTAGTAGGCTGTTGAATCCAGAAGCCAAACATCAGCAAATCTCTTTTCACCTTCATCAACAGTGGATGCTCCATTGTATAAAATTTTATCATCGTCTGATGTGCTGACAACGCATCCTTAAGATGTTGATGGCTCTAA